CGATACTTCTCGTCGGAGTGAACAAGCTACAAGCGGAAGCAGATCTCCACAGATGCTTCAAGTATTAACGGAACAAAAAAGCAAAAGGCAAAAGCAACCTTTAATTCATTAAAAAGCATAAAACCATATACTTTTCGTATAAAACAGTTATTTATCGATGCATTTATCTTATTACGATCATTTTTCTGGCACGTTAATCGATGCATTATTATTCCTTATCCTAATCCTTTACTTGTTTATTATCTTATTCATCTACTACTTTAATTCAATAATTCACTATTTACTATAAAAACCATTTTCTCTTAGCGCTGACTGTGCATGCCTAGTATGTATACATATTGATTAAAATAATAAAAAATTGTAATAGCTGAGAAAAAGATATATCTTGGTATATGGGATCATTAACGAGATCGATCATCCTCTATTAGCCTGCTGAAAAAACATCTGACTCTTACTGCTGTTATTAAACTTTGATGGCTGTGAAGCTGCATATTCTTTGAAACTTTTATCATCGACTAATCATAGCTAACTTCATTCAGCCATATATCACCTGACGCAAATGTAATAATGCAGAATACCGAAGAATTGCAGTCTTAAGTATTTGTTCGTACATGGTCTACTTGAAACATCCATCTAGACACTTCGGCGTCATGAGGCCTCATGTCACTTTTGTTTCAAGTTAATCTCGTTTTCTTAGAAGAGACGTTATATTCAGCAGGCTGAATCGACAGTCTTCTTAGTTCTTGAAGGACTACGAGATACGCAAGGTGATAGCCGATAGTAGACTTATTTTCCTCTCACTTGTTCTGAGAAGCACCACGTGTAAGAGAAAACAGGTGATTTTTGTTTTTCTGTTCTCCGTGTGAACACATGGATGAAGGATGTATATTGTTAGATAGTATTAATCGCATCGCTCTCTTTGTCCTTTCTGTTTTCTGTTTACCATATACATATCATATTCTGGTGAAGCACACAAGTAGAGTGTGTCAACGTGTCTGGGCTAGCTTTACTTTATTCAACAGTGAAGGCAAGGAGTCCTGCGACAACTGCTCTCAAATGAATTTCAACTTAAAATCCGATATCAAATTCGTGTTCGGCGATAAAAACTGAACTAAACTGATCATGGTAAAACATCCATCTAGACACTTCGGCGTCATGAGGTCTCATGTCACTTTTGTTTCAAGTTAATCTCGTTTTCTTGGAAGAGACGAAAATTTATCTGGTTACAAAAAGTATTTTGTGAATGGGTTGGTTACTGATCCTCTAAAAATGTTAGCATTGGTAATGGTAAAAATGCATTGTCGAGGTTAGTAAAGGGCCGTATAATCTCACAGCTTTTATAGATCTAAGCTTCTTGGTATAGCAATTCGAGCGTGATCGAGTTAAGGGTAGTAACGGCTTGGGTGTATAGAGATATGCAAGTTGAACTATCTCTATAAGGTTTTCCACGTTCTGTCATCGTATGTGAGGTTGCTAAGAGTTGGTGTGTATCTACAACGTCTTCTTGTTTTACAAGGCTTTCATTGTAAATGAGTAAAAAGTTAAAGAAGAAGAAGAATCGGTAACGGGCCGTGTATATCTACAACTTTTTTTTTTTGCTGACGGTACTCACATGGATAGATCTGCAGTAACCTCAAATATCTGTACAAAGTTTTCTAACTTCTAAACATCTCAGATAGAGCTAGTAATAGATGTAAGTTTTTATAGACGTGCGTTTTCGTTTGGGAAGGAGAAAGAAAGGAAACAGGAGGATGGAACGGAAAAGATCAACTTCTTGTAATGTAAGACACAGGCAGGACTTTAATTCTTCTGGCTATTACAGATTAATACTTCCACAGGTCGAAAATGTCTCAAATAATTCTAAGATACTTATTTTAATCTAACTTAACTATTCTTCTCAGAAATATTTAAAATAATATGTAGGTGAAAAATTATGCAGGTGATCAGCTCTAGTGTGTGTGTATTTGACCGGATAAATCCAGTCTTTCAAAAAGCGCTGTGGTTATAATAAGGCGGAGAAAATTTCCAAACCTCTTCATTCTTTCTCTCTTCTTATGAGAACTTGACGCTCCGAAGGATAAACATCTAATAAAAGGTTCTGTATTTGCGTTCTGTGTCGACTGCAAAATATTTAACAGTTTTTCTTGATCAAGAACACTTCAAAGCCTATCAGAATATGATTAGACGTGATATATGTCCTCGAGATTATCAAACCTTTCGTTTTGAGATTGTCAGAAATTTTGTACTTAAGAAAACTGTGTGCAATGAAAAGCCACATGAAGAATGACTTGACGAGGCAGATTTAGAATAGAGGCGCCGAGTTTCCATGTCCGGATAACGATAATGATACGATTGGAAAAAATTAATTTGTGGTGAATTGGATTCTCTACATTTTTAAAATATCACATGTTTAGAACGTCAGGAAAGTATCAAAGACCAAGAAACTTTCCGGAGATCGTAAAAATCTGATTTTTGAAATATGTTGTACAGAATCAAATTCCCTGCAAGTTATGTTTTCGTATCGTATCTGGGACCCGAAGACCGAACATCTGCTTTTCATACATGTTGCTTCAAATCAGTCCTCAAGTGACTTTTTCTTGCAAAAAATATTACAAACAGGATTTGAAAGAAACTTGACGAAACCAAAAAAGAGTAAGAGATACGTTATATAACTGCAATAACTCTATAATTTTTTAAAACTTCCTGAAACAATTTTGAAAAATGTAAAATAAAAAGTGAAAAACTAATAAGTCGATTTTATGACTCCAAATGAATTGCTTTATGGCAATTACTCTCAATCTGCATCTCTCTATTGACGATTGTGAAACTTAAATTTGATACAAAACTCCAATATATCTTCGTCCTACAGGGAAAACATGATTTTAGAGGAAGACGCTAACTCATTGAATATTTTACCACAAGTACTCATATTTTTGTGTAAAAATTCTTTGTGTAAATTCAAATCGTTCCTGAATCCACATCTCCTTCGCCTTCACTTTCTTACTGTCACGTTTTGCAACAGAACAGGAAAAATATCCATTTTCTTTTCTCTTTCGTCTCATGTCGTTTTCGTCCAAGCGAAAGGAAAAACTCGAGAGTTATTGCAACATACCTTGAAAATACAATCAATGCCATGCAGGCAGTCGATACTATTAGTAAGATGAAAAAATATGTATAGTTCTTTTCTGTGTGCTGAACCAGGTAATCTCACTTTCTTTTTTGCCTTTATGATCAAATATGCCGTATTCTAAGTATTGTGTATCATTATAGATAATAAGAGATACACAACCTTTTTCATCATGAAAAAGGTTGTGTATCTCTTATATTGAAATTCTTCACCTTACAAAATGACTCAATTGTATATCATTTCAACCTTTAACTCCCCCACCATGATGCACATAAGGATTCGATTCAAACTACAAAAAAGTGGTTTCTTCCGTGACAAGTTGAAAAGAGAGCATTTTCTTCAAAGTGCAACTGTCAAACTGAATGTATTTTAGTGGCACACAGAGTTTTTTCTTTGTACACTATGTGGATGAGCAGTATTTCATATCTTCATTTTCTTAGAAAAAACTATCTGCTTTTAATTCTTTCAAATGAACATATTTTGTGTACTCTTTGAGATTTTGTTCATCTGCCGGATTCGTTTTCTTTTCGTCTGGCTCATTTCTGTCTTGACGATCGTGCTATTTTTCTTTGTGGAATTAGACATCTAGCAAACGACGATCATAATTTTCTGATAGAGACTTTTCTGTTAGACAAAACAGGAAAAGGTTTTCTCCCCTTGGCTTACGAGCGTGCGCGCGCGGAGACTCTGTTGTCTTCTTCTTCTTGCTAACAAACAGGAAAGCATAAAAAGAACTAACTAGGAGAAATGCGGATAAAAACAGAAGAAGAACCAGTAGACAATAATATAATGCCTTCATCGGTCCGTCTTCTCAGTATATCAGACATGAGCGATCCGAGTACCCGTCTCTGCCGCATATTCCAAATTTTTTGTTTTGATCGAACTCGAAACTTTTTGAAATATTCTAATCTAGTAGCATTTTCTGTTAGAGTTTAAGTTGAACGAGGGAACCTTCTCAGATGTAATCCTCCTTTTCTAATGCAACCCACATGGATCGATTGCCTATCTAATGGTAGTAAAAAGCCTAAGAGGTTTTATTCAGAAAGATCTTCCTTCGAAAATTCGAGTCAATTTTCTGATTTCCAGAGCGCAAATCAGCCAAAACAGAAAATTTCGTATCTCAGCCAAATAATTTGTAGATACAGGTTTTGTACATATTTTGTAAATAAAAAGAGACCCTTCGAAAGTGAGAGGCCTCTGCGTGACAGAAGGGAGACAACGTTCATATTGGTGATGTCAATTACCAAACTGAACAGCTAGCTATATCACAAATAGCTAAATGTGTCCTCTGCATCTACCTTTCAATTGAAAAGCATCTTTCTCTCCGCTAAGATACACATACGATTTTCTCTACCATGTATTTCAAGAAGTAAAACTAGTGGAGATTTGAGACTTTCGCAGTAGTGAGTACCTGTGTGACACTAGTTGGTGTAAAAGGTTCAAGTATATACGATGTTATTTGGCTGAGATACGAAATTTTCTGTTTTGGCTGATTTGCCCTCTGAAAACCAGAAAATTGACTCGAATTTTCGAAGGAAGATCTTTCTGAATAAAACCTCTTGGGCTTTTTACTACCACTGGGTAGGCAATCGATCCATGTGGGTTGCATTAGAAAAGGAAGATTATATCTGAGAAGATTCCCTCGTAAGTTATTCTAAATCTATCTCGTGTCGCTTAATATCTGACATTTTAACTACATACTCAAGTCTTTTTTATCTCTGAAGCAAAATATCCATTTGCATTTTTAGAATTTTCTGATAATAATATTTTTCTTTCTTTCTTTTTTGGCCATTTTACTTTTTAAAAAGAAATCCCAAATTCGAATCAAAACCGAAGACAAGAAGGAAGCCTTGCTCTTTTTTTTCTACAGTCAATGGCTGTTATCGATAAGCTACCAACGGAAATTCTCGAGAAAATATTTCTCAGACTGGCTGTACAGCCGTCATTACAGTTGATTGATTTAAGCGTTGTCTGTCAAAAATGGAATTCGATCATCAAGGATGCACACTTTCTCGACAAATTCTTTCATCATCGTTTGGTGTCTTATTCTCCTCTTCAATTTCGTCATGGCGCTCCCTATTCTCCTCCTTTTCATTCTACCGAAAAATATTTGATTCCAAATTGTCTCCGATTATCCGATGCTATTTTTCTCGAATCCGAAGCCAACGACATGGACTATTACATCCATGACATCACATCGTTACCTTTGAGTTTCACAATTTCTTTCTGGTTCTCTTTGCCGAATAAAAAAGATGCATTTGGCGTCCTCGCTAAGTCTCCTACATCCAATAAGTGCCTGTGTCTATTCTATAATCAAGGGTGGCACCTGTGGACTGTTGCTAAGCGATACGCATTCAAAAACGACGATGTTTATCAACCAAAAGTACAAGGTTGGAATCATATTGCTGTCTCACTCATTCACAATGGAAATATTTTCTTCTATATCAATGGTAAGCAATATCAATTTGATGATGAATGGTCGTTCGAAGGTTTTCAAGGTGCAACGGAAGATAATATACTTGTGAAGTACTGGAGTGATCTTGCACATGATGTCTTATGTCTCTGCGATATCCGACTCATTCCCGGTTGTCTTACACGAATGGAAATTGAAACTGCAGCTAAGCAACCACCCGTCCCTCTCGACATGATCAAAGTAGGAACATATTGGAAGAATAAAATGAAAGAAGAGGACAGACAATGACTTTTTTATTTTGTAATTTCTTTTTTGGTGTAAATTCACGTTATATACGTCGATGTTATGGTGTATGTTAATCTTCGTCTTTTTCATTGTCGTTCAAGTTAAGTTAACCAACTGAAGAATGGGGAGTGGCTGTGTAGCGCCTAGATAGAACCAGTCGTGTTTCGTTCGACCATACGGAAGCCAGTCTTAACAAGGCCGAGTGGGCAGAATTCCAAGATCGCGTTTGACCGCGCAACCGGTTAAACATTTGTACTCTGATAGAATAAAGCTTATATCAAACAGAACACAAAAAACATACCAAAAAAATGGTGACACGACAGTTGAGCCTACGACATTTGAGCCCCGACAAATGAGCCTCGACAGATGAGCCTACCGACACTTGAGCTCTTGACATTTCAGCCCCCGATAT